CCCTCTCCTCCACACCGGTGATCTTTGCACCGACCCAGTCATCCCACATCCTGTATATATGTCCGCTCGAGGGTTCCCATATTGTAACAGATATAAGAGCAGCTCACCCTTCCCTCTTGGCCATAGTGATGTATTCGCCTCCATTATCCTCGTTGTCAAACAGAGAAAGCCCACATTTTGGGCGCGAAACAGACACATTACATACACCCATTCCAACGCCATCATCATACCAAGCGGCCGAACATCCAGCGGAGATCTCCGCAGCACCGATTCCAGCAGATCGAAACGATAATCACGGCAGGATGGCACTCAACCCTATCGACCGTTCCAATAACACACTGTCAGTGCCAGAAGGACCTCCTCCTCGAGTGGCGTCGGAGAAGACACTGTGTGCTTCCCCCGAATATGAGAAACGACAATACATCTCTGATGGAGATGCGAAGAAGGTCGCCGAGAACGAGCCAGAGCCCGAACAAGAACCGATACCACGGTATGGACGAGATGAAACCTATACCGGTCTCGCGATGGGTTCGACGGACGAAGAACGATCGCATGACCAATGTGCGCCTGTACATGATGAGCCTTCGTCAGTGACAGAGGCCGAAGCTTCTTCTACAGTTCCTGCGCAAGACCCGGAGACCGTAGCCGAGCAGCCCAAGTCTCGGCATTTCTTGGAAGACAAGTCTTCCTTCTTCAAAATCATGTTTGTGACGACAACATGTGCCACTCAGCTGATCACCCAGGCTCAGGTAGGATTGGTCATGATACCCCTCAACAATATCGGACCGTGGCTCGGTACCGATGATGCGGGTGAGATGAGCTGGATGGCGGCGAGCTACGGGTGAGGTATTCTTACGCTATCACGACCATTTGGTGTAGCACCACCACTGATGTCACCGGTCCCATTCGGTCAGCGAATCTAATGCTAACACCTTCGGCCTTCAGTCTCACAGTCGGCATCTTCGTGGTCGTATCTGGTCGAGCGGGCGATGTTTTGTAAGTCGAGTTACAGATACAGTCATCACTTCTTACCTCGTTGGAGTAGTCGGCAGCCGCTAAGCCGCTCATGTGTCATCATCCAGCGGACCGAAACTGGCCTGGACGATCGGCTGTATCGTCGTCATCGCTGCAAACATCGCTTCAGGCTTTTGTAAGACGCCTATCCCGTTCGACATCTGCAGAGCAATCGCCGGTATTGGCTCGGCTTTATCTTGTATGTTGAAAACCTTCTCACACGCATGAGACATTGAGGATTCAAGGCGTGAAGGCTGATATGCTCTATGCTTCCTATGCGATTAGTACCTAATGCACTCGCTATTTTGGGTCGGACATATCCACCAGGGCATACGAGAAACGTCGTCTTCGCTATACTGGGCGCACTGGCGCCTTGCGGGTTCGTGCTGGGCGGAAGCGTCGCGGCTATCTTCGTCGTGCTTGTGTCTGTCGAATGGGTATGGTGGTTCGTGTGAGTGCGATACTGGTTGGATTGCGGATTGGCTTCGAACGCCAAATAGCCGCTGTACTTCTCGCTGATATCACGTGCCGACGTGTACTCGTATCTCATACTTGCAGAGCCATTTTCGCGTTCGCTTTCCTGCTCCTGGGCCTCTGGGTCTTACCTTCCGACCGAATTACATCACCACCCAACCAACCGCCCATATCAGTCCGACTCAAGCAATTCGATTACGTCGGAACATTGCTACTTATTTCCGCCATGGGAATATTCAATTTTGTATGGAATCAAGCCCCCTTAGTAGGCTGGCAGACAGTCTATGTCTATGTGCTCTTGATCGTCTCGATAGCGTGCTTTGCAGCCTTCTTCCTGTGGGAGAGAAGAGTGGGCAAGACAGCCCTGATCCCTGTGGAAGTACTAAGCAAACATAGCCTGTTAGTGTATCTGACCCTGTGGCTTGGCTGGATGAGCTTCGGCACTTTCTTGCTCTATAATATCCTCTTGTAAGTGCGACCGTCATTCATCATTATGTCTCCGTACCTAGGAGGCTACAGCTGACGCGAGGGTCACAGCATCCACAATGTCAGAGGCCATCATAGCGCTCTGACGATCGCCGCGCAGCTGATACCTCTCTTACCAGGCGGTGAGTATCTCAATCTTCTTCTTCTTGCCGATGCTCCTGGCTCCTTGCTGATCAGCTCCCTTTATGATCGCAGGAGTTACCGCAGCTTTGCTTGTCCCGACATTGATCCACCGATTCCCGGGTCATATTATCTTCCTCATGGCCATGGTATCATTCCTCATCGGGCCATTGTTCAGCGCATTGAACAAGCCAGACCAGACATATTGGGGCCTGACCTTCTTCGGTCTGCTTCTATCCGTTTTCGGACCCGGTAAGTGTCCAGTCAGGCCGAAATTTCTCTTTTGAGCAAGTCACAAGATAGCAATAGTCCATGTCTAAAATATGAGCATCAGACTGGATTTCCATTGAGCTGATAGATGCGCATTCGGTATCTTGATTGCGCCGCCGATAGATCTCTCCTTCAGCACTGGTCAGTTGATTGTTAGCAATTCGGTTGCTCACGAATATCAAGGCATCGCCGCCGGTGTCGTTAGCATGATCACCAATTACTCGTAAGTCGCCGAGCGCATAGGCTGTCTCCTCAAAAGGAATCAGCGGGCTCGTGCAGTATTACGACAAACGCGAAAGTGAATGTAGCCTGACCCGCATATACCTACGCTAACTTTGTGCTGATTTGTATCACATAGGCTCTCCATTGGACTCGGATTCGCCGGTACAGCAGAGCGATACGTCAGTATGCCTTACCCCGGCGCAAGCCAGGCTCATATTCTCAGAGGATATCGGGCTGCGTTTTGGACCGCGACTGGTCTGGCAGCGCTAGCGATTGTCGTGGTAGCGCTGTTCGTGAGAATGCCTAGACAGACGCACGGGCACGAAGGGAAGAAGATCAAGGAGGAGCGAGCTGAAGAGGGTTCGAGTAGCTGAGCGAGGCATGTTTCTATTTCTAGAGATGATTTGGCCCCATATGGACATTATAATAGTCGGAATGTTGTTTTGATCTGTGTCATACCGGAAGCGCTGGTCGGCAGAATGATGCAGGAAAACAGGGCAGATCACCCAATTTGTCGGCTGTAATTGATGAGCACGGAAGCGTTCTTTCATGCTTATGATGTGGATGTAGATCTCTGCTCCATATCACAATGGCCAAATCACGGTTGAGGTCGGGAGCAATACCATAGATTCGAGCTGTGTCTTGATGTTAGTTGCATCATTTTTCCGTCTCCTGGTGCTGCTTCTCTGAATTCCAACTCCAGACTTCCAGCTATCCAATCCATCTCACACCATCTTAAAGGTTGGCTTAGACAGGAGGGGTACCGGAGCCGGATTCCTTAGCAGGGGGGACAACGTAGTTCTGCAAGATTAAGTGGTGTAAAGTTATGTTGGATGATGAAGAAGACATCAAGAAGAATTCCGCAGCGAGAAGGAAAAACGAGGAATTGTCTGTAAGCGCCGAGTCATTTTTAGGCCCTGGGTACGATCGAGCAAAGACTTACCTGCTCTCCGCTCTGTCCGTTCTCCCAAAGCTGGTATCGACTGTGATAGGTGTCGGAAAAAATCAGCATGGATTCCTGAAATGGGCATATGGCCATTGGTCTCAGAAAATTAAGCTCGACCCAACACGATCTCCCCCTTTGTTCCGCACTTGCGCCGGGTAAAGGGATATACCCTCCGGGACATGTTGCCATGAGATGACTTCCACCACATCCACCTCGTGCTAACAGCGTAAGCCTCCTGTCCTTTGTGACATGCTCTTGCCCCGCCAAACACCTCCAACTCGCCCCATACCTCTTCCCTAAATGAGAGTGAGCAGCCCTCTAGCTTCAGGTCCCTTAAGCGCCAACCAGAAACCCATCTACAAGGCCCTCCCCCTTTCTTCGCGATATTTCCCCATTCGCGTTCTTCGTTCCGCTTTCTTAAAGTCGAAGCCCCGAGATATCGCCAAAATCCCAACTCACACTCCGATAGCAGCTCGCTTCTCAGCGGCGACTCGGTCGGTCTCGGTCAAAGCCTGTCGGAGAGCCCGGGAGGCGATCTGGGTGTACTTGTTCCAGCTGTTTGTTGATCAGATCATTATTATCATCCGGCCGAGTCGAGTTCGGGTGTAGACACCAGATTAAAGGGCAACAATGGTTTGATAGACATATTGGCGATATGATTACGGGGCGCAAGGGAGCGGAGAAGGAATGCCGAGGTATCAATGAGCGGATCATGTGGTATGGAGAAGGGAGAGGTCGATATCGTTGCAGAAAGATGTGAACGCAAGTCGAGTAAGAGGAATATGGGTGAAACACCTGTCAGTAACACGCCTTCATCCTCTCCGCGACCCCAGTTTGCATGATACACCCGCTCGCACTCACGACATGAATTCTCTCCAGGTGGACGACATCTTGGGCTGATCTCTTTTGGGTGACGGGTTATTCAAACGTGAATCGACAAAGCAATATTAAGGACAGAACATCAAGTAAGTGGTCATAAAGAAGCTCGCAAGCATGAGATGTGTGTATACCACCATACAGCCTCGGCCGGAGAGAAGGGATGCTGAGTCCAGGGTGATATCACCGATATTTTCCGAGCGTGGCATCGTTAAACTCCTTTCACCTCCAAGCCAAGCTAGCCTCCAGTCAATGTGCCCACAGCAGAACCGGGTCATCGACAATAGCAAAGATGTATAGGTCATGCATGTGTCGTTGATGGTAGAGCAAGACAGAGCATCGATTGCTGTACAGATAAGAGGGGGTCAGGTAAGAAGAGACCACATCGATACCATCCGGACCATCCTTGCCACATCTCCTTCGCTGCACCCTCATAGCATCTCTCAACATGAGATCAGCCGCTATTAGGCTCTCTTCTTTCCCTGTTCAACTTTAGCTGTTATGACAATGCATACCGTCCTATTTATGCTCAAGGACCAGTTCAGATGACTGGAAAGCTATACGCTTGCCCGTCCAGACAGGGCAAAAAGATTGGCACCACCCGGGATCGAACCAGGGACCGCACGAATGGAGATCACTCAGAACTTCAGTCGTGCGCTCTCCCAACTGAGCTATGTCGCCGCGATTTCTTTTCAGGTGCCTTTGACTAGTATATATACATGACATCATTTCGGCTCAGTTTTCCTCTTAGTTCGCCGTTGCCAGCGCCAAACGGCTTGTTCTTACTGTCCGCAGTGGATTCTTCCATTTCCTCTGCTTTGGGTCACAATCCGCTTCCTCATAAGCTGTCATGGTCGAGATAAACAGCATAGGAAGAGGTGTGGCATGGCCTGCCACACTCGATTCGGACGGGAATTGAAGATCGGGCTGTCCGATTTCTAGATGAGGACGTTTGGCTCGGGCCTGGCGCGCGAGAACTCAGGATTTCAGGGTCCCGTCTCGCTTTCCCTGTTATACTCTGGGACCATGCGACGATTTTTGATTTTTTACTGAGCAACTGAGCAACTGAGGATTCACTGCACTATCCACGTATCGATCGATTGTGGAACGACTGTTTGGATATCGTATCATCCGTCTTCTTCTCATCTTTTGTCTTTTGATATTCCTACCTTTCTCTTTCGTCTTTATCTCTCTCTCTCTCTTCTTCAATACACCCCAAAACCACCTAAAATCGTATCAAAAATGGTCAGTTCCAGCTTTTGAAGCTCCCCATCGCGCTTCCTCCTACTTTGACATTGGCGCCGACTCTCACTCAACCCCTTCATCACTCCGCCCACGTTCGTGACATGCTGACGCCCTACTCCCCCTACAGTCCAGCTACAAGGTCGCCGACATCTCTCTCGCCGCTTTCGGTCGAAAGGAGATTGAGCTCGCCGAGCATGAGATGCCCGGTCTCATGTACCTTCGACAGAAGTACGCCAAGCAGCAGATCCTCAAGGGCGCCCGAATCGCTGGTTGTCTCCACATGACCATCCAGACCGCCGTCCTCATCGAGACCCTCACTGCTCTCGGTGCTCAGGTCACCTGGTCTTCCTGCAACATCTTCTCCACCCAGGACCACGCCGCCGCCGCCATCGCCGCTACCGGTGTTCCCGTCTACGCCTGGAAGGGTGAGACCGAGGAGGAGTATCAGTGGTGTATTGAGCAGACCCTTGCCGCTTTCCCCGACGGCAAGCCCCTCAACATGATCCTTGACGACGGTGGTGATCTTACCACCCTTGTTCACGAGAAGTACCCCCAGTACCTTGCCGGTGAGTTCGCCTCTTACTGATCTTCAAGATGTCATGGCGGAACTGATATGACTCTTCCTCTTACAGAGATCCGAGGTGTCTCTGAGGAGACCACTACCGGTGTCCACCACCTCTACAAGGCCTTCCGAGAAGGCCGACTCAAGGTCCCCGCTATCAACGTCAACGACTCTGTCACCAAGTCCAAGTTCGACAACTACTACGGCTGCCGAGAGTCTCTCGTCGACGGTATCAAGCGAGCCACCGATGTCATGCTTGCCGGTAAGGTAGCTGTCGTCGCCGGTTTCGGTGATGTCGGTAAGGGTGTAAGTGGTCTTGCTCCATCTTTCACATGAAGGTTGTGAGCTGACTTGTATGATTAGTGTGCCGAGTCCCTCCGATCTTACGGTGCTCGAGTCCTCGTTACCGAGATCGACCCCATCAACGCCCTCCAGGCCGCTATGGCCGGTTACGAGGTCACCACCATGGAGGAGGCTGCCCCCCGAGCCAACGTCTTCGTAACCACCACTGGCTGCCGAGACATCATCACCGGTGAACACTTCGAGGTCATGCCCGAGGACGCCATCGTCTCCAACATCGGTCACTTCGACGTTGAGATCGACGTTGCTTGGCTCAAGGCCAACGCCGTTGAGTGCATCAACATCAAGCCCCAGGTTGACCGATACACCATGAAGTCCGGCCGACACCTTATCCTCCTCGCCGAGGGCCGACTCGTCAACCTTGGTTGCGGTACCGGCCACCCCTCTTTCGTCATGTCCTGCTCTTTCGCCAACCAGGTCATGGCCCAGATCGCCCTCTGGACTGACGCCAAGTCATACCCTCTCGGTGTCCACATGCTCCCCAAGTCTCTTGACGAAGAGGTCGCCCGAGCTCACTTGGCTCAGCTCAACATCAAGCTTACCAGCATGACCAAGGTCCAGGCCGACTACCTCGGTCTCCCCGTCGACGGTCCCTACAAGCCCGACCACTACGTGAGTGCTAATGGTGTATCACATTGCATAGCTGCCGTGGCTGACCTATCTTGTTTCTTGCAGCGATACTAAGCGCTTCATCATCTGGCCTCAACTGCCTTCGAAGCCTTGTCTCCGGTTTTCATGGTTCGGTTTGCAAACCATCACTCTGCCCTTAAAAGGCAGTTGAATTCTTTGCCAATATAGACACATAAACAACCATATACCCCACCAGTTTCACTTTACCCGTGTTTCTCAAGCATTGCATACCCTACATCATTTCTTTTGTCAACAACATCAACATCATTTTTTGGGCTTCAACTGCCGTTCACTCCCATTTGTACTATTAAAAAAAACAATCGTAGCATTGTCTCGAGATCGAATTGAACGGGTTCCATTCATCTTAACAACATTGTTTCAGTCATTGCGTACTTGTCTGGTAGCTAGACTTTCCATAGAGCCTAGATGGTAGACGGGTCAAGTCCGGTATATGTCTGAACAATGCATGGAACTGGCGGAGAAATATATTGATCGTCATCATAATCAGGGGTGCGGTCCTTGCATGTAACTTCCCGGTCCTCATCTGAATCGCGCTTGTCGATCCTATTTTTTGCTAAGAATTGATCCAGAAAGATTCTGCATATATCCATAACCATCATTCATCACTATCGCTATCAGATAGTACAAGACCACATGCACAGCCCGTAATCAAATACATATGTGAGTCCCATTTCCTGTTTTCAGATCATACTATGACTGAGATTGACCCGTTTACACCACAGCGAGCGATGCTATGCTTGCCGTATCGCTTCATCCCCATTTGCATCCCGAGACTTGATGGTAATGTCCCATTGTAACGGCCTCAACGCAGCAGCAGTAGAGTCGGACGCGATTTAAGCGAGGACATGAGTGGCCTTGGGGTCGGCCTTGACGGGTACCTGCTTGCCATCGATATTCTCGACGTGGACTGCGTGCTCCTCTTTCTCATCGTCAAAGTGGTCGTTCTCGGCGGCGTCATGGTTCTCCTTGGTGCCGTATCCGAATTGAGCAGCTTCGTCTGCGAGTGGGATACAACGAACAACTCAGTCAACATGCGTCGTAATTTGGTAAAGGTCTAAAGGTAACGCCTGACTCACCCTTGACAACGGTGTGCTTGAACTTTCGGGCGGGCACCTTGTTGGCGAACAGGATGTCCAATTCACCGAACGATCGGCCAGAGGTCTCGGGCAACCTAAAGAACGCCCAGAGGAAGCATACGCAGTTACAGGCAAACCAGAAGTAGCTACGGTGCCAAGACCAAGCCAGGTCGCAAGTCAGCTATTGGTAAAGATCTGCAGTATTTCCATCAAGTGGAGATCGAGTCGAACCCCAGATCACACTCACCCTGACTTGGCCTTGAGGTTCCAGCCATCGGCAGCGACCATTCGCGTGTTGATCTGTTGAGCGATGATGGCGCAGACGACGTAGACCGCTCGGCCCATGACAATAGCTCGGGATCGGAGTCGGGAGGCGGGCAGTTCACCGACAATGGAGTAACCTGAAGAGCGAGAATTACGAAATGACACACATGCTCAGCACACAACACCGTGGTGGCAAGAATGTAAGTGCTGCTCGGACGTTCGCACTCACAGACCGGACCGAGAGAGAAGTGGAAGATGAGGTTGATCATGATCATCAAACCACCCGTGGCCTTGAGTCTAGCGTTGGTCTTCGCGATAGTGCCCAAAATACCGATAGGCAAGAGACAAGCAGCTTCAGAGAGAAGACCGGCAAGGTAGATGGACCTTCTGCCGAAATAACCGAGGAAGATCCACGAGAGACCGACGCCGACTATACCCATAGCGTGAAGGATGACGTTCATGTTGAAGGCTTCGCCCGTGGTCATACCGGCCTGCTTGAGGAATTCGACAGTAAGTCCGGTGATCATGTTTCCGTTCCAGATTTGAACGAGCCAGGTGCCGATCATCTATCAAACCAATAAGCCCGCGCATCAGCATATGACTCCTCATGGACGAAGGCCTTCGACTTCGCTGGGTGATGGATTTCGCGATCAAACCCACAATCTCAGTCCGTCGAAGAGGGGAACCCTTCTTGAACAGCTCCCTCCAGGATCCATTGGCTGCCTCAAGTTTCTCCATGGCGTCGACATGCCTCATATAGGCTACGTATCCTTCAGCCTCTCGCTCGGCATAAAATCCCTTCCTGGCAGTTCGCTTGAGGGTCTTCTCGGCGTCCTCGTATCGACCCTTCCGGACGAGCCACCAAGCACTCTCAGGTGCGAAGAAACAACCCAAGGCGAGGGGGACGGGCCAGACCCATTGGAGGGCGAAGGGGAGCTTCCAAGCCCAGTTACCGTTGATCTTGAGAGCACCCTTCAGAACACCGGAGGCGATGAAACCACCCTATGGCACGGAGATTAGTCAGCATCTCAGCTGACTCCTGGTCTGTGGGCAGTGACGTGGTACTCACACCTCCCCAGCCAACGGAGGCGAAAGCTGCAAGGTAACCTCGAAGCTTGACAGGGCAGATCTCGGCAGCGTAAGCGGTGGTGAGAGTTTCTGCAATCAAACATATCACCCAGAAAGGTTGGAGTCAGCTCCGAGCCCCAGCTGCTATTGTGATATGTACGGGAACCATCGAGGATATCGCCACTCACGGAACATGCCCCAAGGTACACCCATGGTCAACTCAGCAACGATGAGCATATCGAGCGAGACGGCAAAGACGGCCAAGAAGATTGAGGCAGCCATGGCGACCATACCCCAGATAAAAGTCCTTTTGGAACCGTATCTTTCCTGGCAGGTACCAGTGATGGCCAAACCGATAAGTTGACCGACCTTCATGAGGTTCTGAAGGGCACCTTGGTAGTGCGCGGGAATGACGAGCTTGCCCTTGTGCTCTCGACCGAACCGGGCCTGGAACT